TCTGTGACTCGAGAAGTCAATGGAATGGTCTCTGTCTGATGATAGGGAAGAGGCTCCAACGAGCAGTAACAGGTGAGTGGGTATCGCTGACTCGGTTAGGCCCGTGGGAGAGTCCTCCCCGTGTGAACTATTCTCTTGACCGGATAGGCTCACGATCACCACAATGAAGTGAGACAGTGTAGCGATGACGCCAAACCTTCGCTGGTCCCAAGTCAGAAAATCCGGGCTATACACCCAAGGGCCGATTTTTGCATCCATGCTTTATTGAAATGAAACTACTCGGGAAGGTTGACTTTCTGGGTGCATTCTATAACACGTCTTCCCAGGCGCGTTTAAATGAATAAAGTACCAGCATAGAGAATGAACCCCTACTAAGACAAAGCTATGAGAAAATTCGGGATAGAGTCTTAGACTGGGCTCCTTGGCGGCTTGAGCTATCATCATTCGGATTGAAAATCGTACTAACGATGAGGAGTATGTTGTGTGAGACTTACTCAGTAAGCCATGAGTTACATACCGTTGGCAAAGTAATTGCTGTCTGTGAGTATTGTCATGCAGCATGAAGGCATGCAGCGACAATATTGCACATCGCGAGTCATGCTGATATGTGATATGTGATCGTTGCTGTGCGATATTTTTTCATCGAGTTACGGGTGCGCATAGATACAGGGTTACGCTTCGAAGTCGTGCGACTGGTGGAAAGATGACCATTTTCTGGAACATGTAGATCGCGCACTTAAATCTACACCCGTGTGAAAGTAGCCGTTAGGGTTATGAATAGGACCCGAGACGTGGGTCCAAGTCCTCGGAGATACCTCCTGGGTCATGGATGCACTTTAATGCACTTTGTTCCGGTCTGTAGAAGACTACTTTTCCTCCTTGTGCCCTGACTTGGAAATAAGCACTTCTATTGGCCTCTGTAATCCAGGACCGGGGCACGGTTGCTGTCCATATTCAAGGCTTCAGCGGCGCTGATTCAGCGTAAGCTATTGCTGAAGAAGTCAACTTGACTTAGTCAAGAATGAACGTAGCGACAATTTCGGCAGTGGGTCAGCAGCTGACCAGCCAAGACGGAATGGTGTCAGCAGAGACCGTTCCGTCTTGGATGCGCGCCGATTCGTGCGGAAAACTGTCTCTCTTGAGGGTAGCCGTCGGTCTCTTTCAGCACGTATGCTCAGAGGGTTAGTGGTGACGCTGGTGGTATACTCTCAATAGTATTAAGACGTCTTAGTATATTGGATTTTACTTTTAAAATGGCGCTGGAGTTTCACGACTACCCGTTTTACGTGAAGTGGCGTCGTAAAACTCGGTGAAAAACGCGATAATCACCCTATGCAGTAGTCGTTGAATCACGGGTGAAACTCCAGTATACTCCACACTGTTGTAATAGTGGCGTAATTTTTCTAATGAATTCGCGGCTCATTTGTTTCA